AAAAAAAAGACTCAGCTGGTCATGGTAGTGCATGCCTGTAATTCCAGCACTGGGGAGGCTGAGGCAGGAAAATTGCTGAGAGTTCAAGGCCAGCCTGGGCTACAGAGTGAGACTCTGTCTCATTCATACACACACACACACACACACACACACACACACTGAGCTACATCAACAGCTGTATTTATATATGTATTTTGAGACTTGGAATTATAATTGAAATGAATTAAAGAATCTTACAAAACCCACAGTTATAGGATGTCAAATATAATTTTGAATAAAAGTGATAAGAGCAGGACTATCCTTGCTTTGTTCCAGATTAGAAGGAAAAAGCATTCTGTAAAATTTCCACACATGACACATATCTATATATAGAAGTTGAAGGAATCAATAAAAATGTAAATTTAGCAAGGTCATATGATATAAAGACAATTGTATAGATAAATACTAGCAATGAATAATTAGAAAATGATATGTTAAAATAATTTTTTGGCTTTTGAGACAAGGTTTCACTATGTAGCCTAGCCTGGCCTCAAACTCACAGTAATCCTCTTGCCTCAGCCTCCTAAGTGCTGGGATTTCAGGTGTGTGCCACCAAGCCCAGGAAAATACCATCTTTATATACTATCAGAGCATATATAAAAATTAACTCAAAATGGATCATAAATTTAAATTTAAGAATTATAAAACTTGTAGAAGAAAATGTAGGATTAAGTCCTTGTGACCTTGTGTTCAATTCAGTGCCAAAGGCATAAACAGCAAAAGAAAAAAATATACTAAGTGGACTATATCAAAATTAAAAACCTAGGGCTGGGGATTTAGCTCAGTGGCACAGTGCCTGACTGGCAAGTGCAAGGTCATGAATTTGATGCCCAGTACCAGAAAAAAAACAAAAATAAATCCCAAAGAACAAAATTAAAAACCTTTAGCCAGGAGTGATGGCACGCACTTTTTTTTGTTTTTCTCTGGTACCAGGAACCGAACTCATGACCTTGTGCTTGCCAGGCAGGCGCTTTGCCGCTGAGCTAAATCCCCAGCCCCTACACGCACTTATTATCTTAGTTACTCAGGAGGCTGAGGCAGGAGGATCTCCAAGATCAAGGCCCCTCGAGACAACTTATCAGACCTTTGTCTCAAAGTAAAGGGTTGGAAATGCAGCTTAGTAGCTTGCCTACCATCTTTGAGGCTCTGGACTCTATTTTCAGTATGGAAAAATATTAAACCAAACCAAACAAATAAAACAAACAAGATCCCCAAACTTTTGTGCTGCAAATGTTATCAGAAAAGTAAAAAGAGAGCCTATAGAATGGAAAATTATTGCTGATCACATGATTAGGGACTTGTATGATGCATATATAAAGAACCCCAACATCTCAACAGTAGAAAGACAAATATTAAAAGAATTAAACCCAATGAGAGAAAACCTTTGAATTAACAAACAGTTCTCCAAAGATCCACAAACAGCCAATATGGAATGAGTTGAGGTAAGGTCTGAGGTATGGTGTGAGGTCAGGGAGTAGTAGGATTCTCAAACTCTGCTGCTGGAGGCAAAAGGAGAGGGTGCAGCAATTTGGAAAACACCTGGTGCTTAGTATGGAGTTGGGTGAGTGCTTTCCACATGGCCCAGCAGTTCCATGCCTAGCAATGTGCACAAGAGAAATGTATCCACATGAACAGTCACACGCAAGTGTTCATTGTGGCTTCATGCACAACAGTTTAAACCTGGGAACTAGCAGATGTGCGTTACCAGGGATGTGGATCTACAGTGTGGAATACTGCTCCAACATAAAAAAGGAGCACCTTACAGTTTTACCTACATGGATAAATCTCAATTATGCTAAGTGAAAAATCAGGCCACATACTATATGATTCCATGTAAGAGAAATTCTAAAAAATGCAAAACTACCTGTGGTGGCACATGCCTGTGATCGCACCACTCAGGAGGCTGTGACAAGAGGATCGCTGTGGGTCTGAGGCCAACCTGGGCTACAGAGTGAGTTCAAGACCAGTTTTGGCTAAAGAGCGAGACCCTGATTCAAAAAAACCACAACCAAAAAAACATCAAAAAACTCAATAGTTAAAAACATACTAATCTCGCATCATTCATTCATTCAACTGCATGTTCATTACAGAGTCCCTGCTTAGGACAGGACTATTACAGAGGCATCACCGGAGTACAGGACAGAGACCAGACACAACTGGAGACTGACACTGGTGATGATAGACCCCATGGGAGGGGTGGCAAAGTACACACACAGGAGGGACTCAGGGAAGACTCTTCGGTGATACTGGAACCCAGGCAGAGTTCCAGCAGGAAGGGAAGCTGTGAGAAAGCGCATGGGACAAGCATTTTTGGCACTGGAGATGGAAATGCAAAAACCTGGAGGACGGCACGTATATTGAGTTTTCAAGGCAGGATTACCACCAAGGTGGTTTCAGCTGGGTTAAGGAGCGGGCGGAGCAAGAGCTGAGGTCAGGAAGGCTGCCAAGGTCCATGAGGTAGGTGGCCAGGGCCTGGGGACCAGGGTTCAGTCAGGGAGCTGGTGGCATGTGATCAGGCCACTGGATTTGCTGGGAGATCAGATATGAAATGGGAAAGACATTTTTGTCCTAATTGGAAGGGAAAGGATTGGGGTGGGGGTGTGTAGATAAAGACCAAAAATTTGGATTTAGACATATATAGGATTTCTATTAGATGTCTCTCAAATATATTGAGTTGGATATTGGCCTAGAGCTCAAGACGGAGGCTGTGTTTACAGAACCAAGTTTCAGAGCCTCTGTTTTGTTGTTGTGGTTTTTTTTTTTTTTTTGAGACAGGGTTTTGCTGTGTAGTTTAGGCTGGCCTCAAACTCTCAGCAAGCCTCCTGCCTCAGCCTCCCAAGTGCTAGGATTATAGGTGTGCACCACCACATCTGGTCATCAGCCTTCACTTGTGTGGAGGGCCTTTCAAACCACTGGAATGGAGCACTCCCTCCAGGCAGTGTGGACACAGAGAAGAAAGTAGATGAGAGCACTGTCAAGGGCGGCTCCTATAGCTCCCAGGACAGCCTGGAAACAAAGAGAATCTCCATCCTCAGTTCATAAGGCTTCTGCGCTTCCACCCAAGTAAGATAAACTTATAGGCTGACCTCACCGATGAGCATAGAAGTAAAAACACAAACAAAAGTCTCAGTGTACAAGGAAAACAAATGCAGAACTTATATAATCAAGTAGTGCTTATCCCAGGAATGAAAGAGATGAAAATACTTTTTTTTTTTTTTTTTTCCAGCTGGATGTTTGAGTTTTATAGCAAACCATATTGTACAGACCTGGGACCCAGGGACCCAACCTGGCTGGGTCAGTACTATGTATTTTACCACATTAGTGTAATAAAGAAGAATGAACCCAGGATCATGAGTAGAAAAGCATTTGATAAAGTTTAACTGGTATTCATGATAAAGAAGAAAAAAAAGTTGTTTTTTTGTTTTTTTTTTTTTTAAAGCAGAGCAGGACTACACAGGGGCATCCTTTTAACCTCACAAAAGGCATCTGGCAAACATTTCATATTTATGAGAGATGCATTAGACACACTCCTTTTTTAAAAGATAAGGAGCTGGGTGTGGTGGTGCATGTCTGTAATCCCAACACTGGAAGGCTGAGGAAAGAGGATAGCAAATTCAAGCCCAGCCTGAGTAATTTACCAACTTAATGAGACCCTATCTCAAAGTACAAGTTTAGAAAGTTGCTGGGGAGTAATTCTAGTATAAGGTCAATTTCCAGGACAGGGGGAGGAAAAGGAACAAAAGAATCAGGAAGGAACTGATGGAAGCCACTACGAAGCAGCCCTGAGCAGGACTTAAACTAGCCAATGGGCTTTTCATGCTTACTTGTGAATCTGTCCAAAGCCTAGGCTGCTTATCTGGAAGTGAGTGATGGACTCATAGTAAATGAACCACTGTGAGTCACTAATCTCTACTAAAACCTGTAATGGCAATGAAGCTGGATGGCCTCAAAGGATAAGACAAGATCACAGCCAAAGACACCCGGATCCGATCTCAACTAGATAAAGACTATAGCCTCAGGTATCTCACTCCTGGGTGGATTAATTTAATCCTTATTAAGGATTAATTTAATACCTTCCTTGGAGAAGTCCTTGAGTGATTCCACCCTTTTTGAGTATTCCCTTCCCTTCTTCTGAAAACCAAATAAATATGGGCCACCTAGAGAAGGTCTTGGTCTTAGCCCAGAGAGAACCTCAAATTCTGTGAGAGGGCTTTGATCCTCCTGGAGCCCTGAAATCATTCCATTTGCCTCTGTTTATTTAGCCTTTGCCGTACGCTCATTTGGGAGACTGTGGTCATTTGGGAGACTGTGGACCTGATCAGCTCGCAATACCTGAGGGATATTATTAAATTGATAAGGAACGAGCCCCGCCACCACTGCAGTTATGCAAAAGGGACAGCCCTCAAGTTTCTAGGCTTAAATTCACGGCTTTTTGACTTTAGAATGGTGTAAAAACCACACTGAATTCTGAATTTGGGATTTTCCCAGGCTAGTGTGATTCCATCAGCCTCTCTGATGAATTCCAAGATGAATTACTGGAAACAAGAAATTTCTGGATACAGGGGCTGGGGATTTAGCTCAGCGGCAAAGCGCTTGCCTGGCAAGCGCAAGGTCGTGAGTTCGGTTCCCGGTACCAGAGAAAAACCAAAAACAAACAAAAAAAAAAAAAAAAAAAAAAAAAAAAAAAAAAAAAAGAAATTTCTGGATACATAACCAGTAAATAAATTATGAGTAGTGTCCCTATCACCAGCTGTCCACAGCTTAAAACAAACTTTACAAGAGAGGTCACAAGGCTCTGCCCAGGAAAGCTGGCCTTCTGCGGCCTTCGTGTTCAGAGCAGCCAGAGGGAAGGGTGAGGCTGGGCACCTGCGGGGCGCTCACCATGGGCAGGACCGAGGACTTCAGTGTTGCGATGGTGACGTGAGGTGGCTTCTTGTCCTCCGGCGTTGCCGTTGGCACGATCTCCACGCGGTTCACCTCGTCCCTCGCTTTCTCTCCTAAGCAAATCTGAGAGGGGGGGAGAGAGGCGCCTCATCACCCCAGGGCACACAGGGGAGCCGACTGTCACCCCTTGGGAGCGCAGCATCCGCGGGCAAGCACCCACCGCACTGAGCACCAGCCTGCAGTTCTCCTCCACTGGGGGCCGGAAGGTGCAAAGCCGCTTCTCCAGGGTGAGCTCAGCGCCTGGTGAGGGGTGAGAGGCGGGAGTGGGCAGGAGGCCTGGGAGGCTCCCAGCAGTCCGCAACCCGGCTCGGGCCTCAGCCCTGCTCACCCCAGGGCACGGTCCTCCCTGCCTTGTCCTCCGTGCTGCTGGAGCTGCGGCGCCTCATGCTGGGGCACGGTGCGGTGGCTGGCAGCTGTCAGAAGCGGGCTGCAGTAGTGGGTAGAGACCAGCCGACCGCTGGGAGCTCAGCAGTGCCCCTTCCCTGCTGTGTGACGCCCGAGCCCGACTGGCGGTGTGTAAGGGCAGCTCCTGGAGGGCAAAGCCCCTCTGCCCGCTGGGAGCCAGGAACAAGTGTACAGCAGTACCAAGGGCTGGAGAGCGTTGTCCCCGGGCCTGTCAGCCTTACCGCGGTTAGGTCAGGTCATGGGTCCTCTCGAGCTCTCTGCAGCTGAACCCGACTCCCTGGAGGACAGCTGCCCGCACACACCAGGCTGTTAAGAGCCAGGAAGGGAAGGCGCGGAGTCCAATCAACCTTCCAGAAGCAGCCCTGCCTGCCCTATCGCGTTCTCCCTGCTTTCTTCCCTGTGCCCTGGCACCTGCAGGCTGTTAAAACCCTCATTGCTGGGCCTCACCTCCCACCTCCAGTTGAGGCCTATGAGGGCCAGAGGAAATCTGCATTTCTAACAAGTGCGCAGGTGAAGTTGCTGCTGGCCCAGGAGTGCTCTGTGAGGGCCCCTCGCGGTGGGGGTTTACTAAGAGCTGCAGCCAGTACCTGGAGCTGCGGGTGGGACTGCACCGCATGGCTTGGAGATACCAGGGTGCATGTCTCCCTGTGGTGTCGGAAATTCTGATTGCCCTGCATTTGCACCAACACCAGGCATTATCGGTTTATGTGTTCTAGTGAATGCATTTCACTTGCTAGTGTAATTGCCTGTGGTTTTCAATGTGTATTTCCAAGCCAGGCTTGGTGGTGCACACCTGTGTTCCCAACACACAGGAGGCTGAGGCAGGAGGATCAGTTGGTGTTTGAGGCCATCCTGGGCTACATAGCAAGTTCAAGGCCGGTATGAACTACATAGTGAGACCCTGTCTCAAAATGAAATGGTATCCTGAATAACAGAAATCTCAAATTTGACAAAGCCCAACCTCCCTTGCCCCTTTTTGGTGCTGGAACTGAACCTGGATAGAATGAGGCAAGCCTTCTATTACCAAGCTACACCCCCAGATCTTTTGTCCTTTCTCTACGGCACATGCTTGTGGTGTCTTAAGATATCATTGCCTAACTTAAGATCCTGAAGTTTTTTTCCTAAGTTTTCCTAGAAGTTTTGTAGTTTTAGCTTTTATTATTCTACACAATTTTTGTTTTTGGAGATGGGGTCTTGCTATGTAGTTCAGGCTGGCCTTGAACTCACAGCGACCCTCCTGTCTTGGCCTCCTGAATGCTGGGATCACAGGCGTGTGTCACTACATTGGACGCTACAATACATTTTGAGTTAATTTTTGTGTCTAGTGTTAGGTAAGGATCAATGTTCACCTCTTCCCCCAACTGCACATCCAGTTCCAGCAGGACCGATCTCAGAACATATCCTTTCCCTATTGTTCTTCTATTTTAATGTTTTATGTACCTAATTCAGTCTTTGCATTTCATGTAATTTTATAGTGAGCTCACCAATTTTTACAAAAAAGATTTTTGAGATTTTTCTATTGGGATTTTGTTGAATGCAAAGATCAATACGGCGACAATTAACATCACAGTTTCCCCTCCCCCCTTTCAGTACTGGGGATTACACACAGGGCCTTGCACGTGTTAGGCAAGACTTCTACCCTGCAGTGTATCACCAGCTCCAACATCACATGTCTGAGCCTTCCCATCTATAAACATGTTACAATCTACTTAGATCCTTTAACTTTTTTCTTCTTTCCTTTTTTTGGTTACTGGGAATTGAACTCAGGACCTTGCTCTTGCCAGGCAGTTGCTGTGCTGTTGAGCTATATCCCCAGCCCAATCCTTTAACTGTTATCAGCAGTGTTTTACAGATTTTTTTTATTTTAAAGAGAAAAAAACCCCAAAATGTAACAATGGTTAATACATTGTGTATTGTTATCTTTAAATTAGTTACTCAGAGTATGAGATATTAACATTTAATTGTCCAAACAATATATATTTTTTGTCTTTTTGAGGCAGGGTCTCGCTATGCAGTTCAGGCTGACCTTGAACTCACTTTGTACCTCAGGCTGGTCTTGAACTCTCAATCCTCTTACATCAGCCTCCCAAGTGCTGGGATTACAGGCATGCACCACCATGCCAAGCTGTCCAAATAATATTAGCACAAACCTTTCCTTTCAATGAACTAAGAGAAGATAGTAGTGTAACTTTCTTAACTATCTTTTGTGTATGTATATATATACATTTTTT